CCCCAAAACCCCAAAACCCCAAAACCCCAAAACCCCATTTGTAGTGAGAATTATTGAAAATAGCTTTAAAATATGGTAATTTGAATAAGTGATTCACTTAATTATCCAGTCCTTGGCTAGCACTATTTAACACAAGCTTTATTGGACACAAGAAGTTAAGCTTTAAAGTTATAAATTTTACTTATAAATTTCAGATTTAATCTTTCTAAAGTCTGCAATCCGTGACTGGAGAAAGTTTTCAGATGCTTTCACAAGAAAAAGAGCTAAGCATTCACATCGCATCCAGACGATTGAAAGTGGCAGTTATGTAGTTGGTGAAACTTTTCGAAATAGCTCTATGTACAAAAATGAGGGTAAGACTATTCCTGTAAAGGATCTCAAGCCAAATGAGAATTTCGAAAAATATAAAAGGGACCTTCTAATCAAAGTCAAGTCTCAAAGGAGGAAAATAAGAGATCATGACCAGCTCCGAAGATCTAAGATGAATCTAGTCATTAGTTCTAGGGTCAAAAAATTTTAATCATATTGCTCAAGAGCAACAGATCATTGCCCAGAAGGTACAAAAAGTGGCTTTGATCAATAAGAAGAAATTCAAGAAACCTCTTGCTCGTAAAAATCATAGCTCAAGAGATAATTCTTTGATTGCTAAGCCTAGCCTAATGGTGAATCTTGTAAAGCAAAGGCGTAACTCTGTGTTCGGGCTCATTCCAGAGAAGATTCCTCTCCAAAAGCCTTCTAGTGACCTAGTAAACTTTCAATAACTTTTAGAAATAAGACGAAATCTAGCTTATTAATTCAAAGACAAAGAAATGGATTTGCTAAAAATGCCAACTTTGACATAGAAGTAGTAAAGAAAGATATCCTTGGAGAAATCAAGGAGAAATTTAGCAAGAAGCACAGCTTGATTGAAGAAGTTACCCCGCTGGATAAATAACCTCAAGAGGACCATTCAGTATAGGTCTAATAGCACCGGATGTAGAGGAGATGACAGAGCCAATCGGTTTGCAGACAGCTGATTATCAGATAATGAGGAAATTAGAATCTCCAAAAATTTGAAGTATTCCTCAAAATAAAGGGTTTTTCAGAATTTCTTCAAGTAAGTCACTTATGGAACTCTTGTAGTGTCTAAAACACCTGTAAATAACCAACCAAATGTGAAGAAGAGCAATATGTTTTTGAAGCCGAAAATAGAGACTTATAAAAGTCACAGAAGGAAGATCTCAGATACGAATAAGAGTCAGTATGAAATGACTGAAACTGAGATTTCTAATATGAGTAAGGAGGAATTTCTTAGATGGGTGAAGCAAATCGTGTAATAAAAATCAATGAATAATTCAATTTTATTCGCCTATTTTGGGGTTTTGGGGTTTTGGGGTTTTGGGGTTTTGGGG